ACCCTTTCAAGCAGGAGTTTACAGCAACAAAAGTAATGGTTTATTTTTAAGGAAATGGTGCCAAACCTGTGGTCACAGATGAGCTGTTGCTCTAAGATCTGGCTCCCCAATGGTTTCCAGCGGATAGATTATATAGGGGTAGATCATTAATCATGGTGACTGAGGGAGTCAAGGTCATGGTTAGGCTCATGGTCTCTGATGGGTTGGCGCTAGGGGAGGAGGTTGTTGATCATTGCATCTAGTCCTGATATCAGACAGGACATTGCTCTGTTGGGTTTCACAAGGATGTTGTCAGAGGGGCCATCCGGCTTTTCTGGGTCTGGAGCTGAAATACAACTGAGGCCTACATATTATGTTTAGTTTGACTAAAACTCTGTTTCTGTGGTCAACAGATACGAGGCTTTTTCGGAAGATTATTTGACGCTGACCAAAACCTCATTGTCCTGAAGGCTTTATGATTAAGGGACTGGGCATGGAAGGGAGAGGGAGGTGGGTGAGTCAGGGTGCTCCTAGGCTGGACAAGGCTAGTTTGAATCAAAATGAAAAAAGAATATTTCAGGTTAAAGAAATGAAATGTCTGCACAGTTACAGGGGTGATCTTCTAGTCCTGCTAATATCAGACAGGAAACTCTGGTGTGGGCACACTCTGTTCTGCTGCCAGCAGCAACAGCCAGATCTCAGGGTTGGGAGACAGGACACTGGCATTTGTTATCTTGGAAACTGTTCACAGCCATGTTAATAGTTCCTTGACATTTCAACTATACACAGAGACTGAAGTGAAAGAACTTTCCACTTTTTGTGTTTCTCTTTATCCTTTGCGCAAGTGCTATACAAATACCATTGACTGCCTACTGTATAGCCAATCTTTCTTAAAAAAAAAAAAAAAACTGTATCTTCAGCCCTGCTGGTGTGGCTCAGTGGACAGAGCATCATCCCATGGACTGAGAGGTCCGGTTCGATCCCTCATCAGCTCACATGCCGGGGTTGTGGGCTCGATCCCCAGTAGGGGGCGTGCAGGAGGCAGCCAATCAATGTTTCTCTCTCACATCAATGTTTCTATCTAAAAACCATATTTTTTCAAAATTGTGTCTTTAATTTTTAGCTAGACACATTGCTGTCAAGGTAAAACAAACAAACTTACATTTCCAGCCTCCCTTGCAGCACAGTGTCTATATTCTGGTAATTGAGATATGAGTGAAATATTCCATGCAGCTTCCAGTAAATTTTTTAAGAGACAGAATAGGGTCTTCTTAGCCCATTACTCCAGGCTAGAATTAAGATGTAAAGGTGTGGTGTAATAAATAATTTGTCTAGTCCTTGTGCTGGGTTCTTGGCATCAAGCCTCAAAAACCCCTGGAATTTCCGGGATGTTAGGAGCATCTTTGTTATGTTAATGAGGTGACTCCATGTGCTCATCTAAATAGCTTTATTTTAGCACAGTAGAAAGGATAGGGACTTTTAGCTGTGGGAATGGAAGTGGGGCTGGAAATGGGGCTGGAGATGGAGTTCCATCATGCAGCCAATGTTTTAATTTATCATGCCTACATGTTAAACCCCAATAAAGACTCTAGACACTGAAGTTTAAAGGAGCTTCCTGGTTTGTGAACACATATGCTGGGAGGATAACCTGCCCCAGTTCTGTAGGGAAAGGGCATGGAAGCACTGTGGTCCCTCTCAGACCTTACCCTGTGTATCTTTTATATTAAAACTGTAATTGTAGCCCGGCTGGTGTGGTTCAGTGGTTGAGCATCGATCCATGCACCAAGAGGTCGCCAGTTTGATTCCTGGTCAGGGCACATGCCTAGGTTGTGGACCTGGTCCCCAGCAGGGGGCACACAGGAGGTGGCTGATAGATGTTCTCTCTCATCGATGTTTCTGTTTCTCTCTCCCTCTCCCTTCCTCTCTCTCTCAAAATCAATAAAGAAAAATAAAATAAAATTTGTAATTGTTAAGTATAGTGCTTTCCTGAGTTCTGAGTCATTCTTTTGAATTATTGAACAAATTTATGAGAACCCCCAAATTTGTAACAGTCAGAAGTGCAGGTGGCCTGGAGATCATCTGAGACTTATGGCTGGTATTTGAAGTAAGGGCAGCTTTGTGGAAAACTCTACCCTTAACCTGCGGACCCTGTGCTAAATGAGTGGCAGTGTCAGGTTTGAACTGTAGTCCACTCCACGTTAGACCAGATGGCTAGAGCCAATGATGCCAACTTGGATTATGAGGCAAACAAATTGTGCAGTACAGAATACAATAATCATGGGGCTCAGGGTTTTTAGCTTCTGCCCCTTCTAATCTGTCTATATCACTTTTAAATTCTGGAGAGAACTGAGAAGATTAGTTAGCTTCATTCTTTCTAGTGTGTACAGAACTTTCCTTAGACAGCCTATAGAATAGCTGCCCTAGGATCACTGCACTCCAAATTGGGGATTCCTATTGACATTGAACTGGCACTAATGACCACTGATGCTGACACCTTCTAGGCAGGCATTGTGGCATTGGCAGCACTCTATCAGGTGACTGCTGAAGGTTGAGGCCTATAGGAGGCACTTCAGGCTTGGAAGGAAACCTGGAGCCACACCATGTGGAGTACTGGTGGAACTACTATTGAGAGAGACCCAATGTTTGGAGAGGTCAGAGGGACTAGATAATTAGGCCTTTGAATAGTACTGGGATTAGAGGTTTAGGATATATTCTAAAGTTATCAGAATATCGTGGATGGAAAGGAAAGACTCAAATTAATGCTTAAAAAAAAACTCTGTGGAGGACAGATTGGGGGTAGGAAGAGATTTAAGTGGAGGCAGCATTACTGTAACCCAGACTGGAAATAATGAAACAGGAGCCAAGGCTATGAAAGGGACTGGAAAGGGGGTAGAGGGGTATATATGGCAACTCTGACGGATGAAAAAGTAGAAACAAGATAAAACTAAAGGTAGAGATAAAGGTAGAGAGGTTGGTGATGACATTAACCAAATCCAGAAATCAGGAGGAGTAGAGATAAGGCAAATCAACAAAGGTGTTCAATATGCTCAATTTCAGGGACTTCTAAAACATGTACGTTGATTGGGACAGCAGGTAGATCTGGAGGTGTACAGCACGTGCTACCATGTAGCAAAATTTCTGAGTTATTTTCAAGAGCAATATTTGAAATGGAGAGTCATTTAACCAGTTAGGAAGCTAGTACAGAATTAAAAGAGGGTTGGAGCCTTGGAGAACACTATACAGTATATATATTTTTTTTAAATTTGTTAATCCTCACCAGAGGATATTTTTTCCATTGATTTTTAGAGAGAGGTTTTTAAAAAAATAAGTTTTGAGTTTTTAGAGGGGGGGGGGGGAGAGCGGAAGAGATAGAAACATTGATGTGAGAGAGACACATCAATTGGTTGCCTCCCCAACATGCCGGGGGATCAAACCTGTATCCCAGGTATGTGCCCTTGACCAGGAATTGAATCCCACAACCCTCTGGTGCACAGGCCAAAGTTCTAACCAGGGAGCCACACCAGTCAGGGCTACAGTATCTGTGAAGGAGAAAGTATAGTGGAGATTGACAGGGTTAAGAGTAGATCCAGCAGCCCTGGCCGGTTTGGCTCAGCGGTTAGAGCGTCAGCCTGTGGACCTGAGGGACCCAGGTTCGGTTCCTGCTAAGGGCATGTACTTCAGTTGCAGTTTGTCCCCAGCCCTGGTTGGAGTTGTGTGGGTGGCAGCCAGCTGATGTCTCTCTCTCACTGACATTTCTCTCTCTCTCCCTCCCTCTCTGAAGATAAATGCCAAAAAAAAAAAAAAAAAAAAGAGTAGACCCAGCAGAGAGGGTGGCCAAGGGAAGAACCTTTTAAGGAGGAATTACAGTAAACTAAACAAGAGAAGTTGAGTAGGTTATCTGCAAATTTGGGGAGCACTGAGAAGGGTGGCAGAAGCAGAATCTACCAAGTGTGGAGACTGCCTGGTGGAAAGAGGAGGCTGCTCAAGCACATTCCAGCAGTTCTTTTAGAAGAAACTTGGTAAGGGAAGAAAGTGAGAAAGCAAAAAGGCTTGAGGAAGGAGGAGGGTATTTTAGATTTATCCTAACAAGCAGTTAGTTTACACAGCTGTGCATGATAGAAAGAAGGGGTCTGAGCCCCCTTTATTTCTTAACCACCCCCAAACTCCAGGCCTAAATTGCCACCTGGGGAGTGGGGAGGGAGAAGTAGTGTTTATCATCAGATCCCAATTCTGCTTCAGCAGCTTTGGCTGAGACTTCTACAAGTGTATGAACCCCAACCGTTCATCTCTTCCTACCCACCGTCCCAACAGAACACCACCATCTCCTTCGCTTCTGTGCAATCTGGAAACACCTAGCAGGCGCAGGGCCCGCGTCAGTGCCCGGGACCGCTCTGGGAGCCGGCCTGCTTCATCCCGGGGCGCTCGGTTCCGGTGCGCGCAGACCCGACAGTCCCCTAACTTAGCGCCCGGTCTTCCCACAGCGCTCGGCTCTGCCTTCGGCGGCGAGATCCCGTCCCACGCCCAGCGCGGGGAAGCGAGCTTCGGCCCTGCTACAGCCCGGTCCTCCGCTGCAGCCGGCCCTCGGACAACGGTCGCGCGCCGCACGCCCCTCCGGAAAGTGAAAGCGAGTGCCATCCGCAGAAGCAAAGGGGCGGGATCCACGCTTCCTACTACGCAAAAACGGAAAGGCCAGGCCGACCGTGGACAGCAAAGAGGTGGCGTTGCCTCCGCCGAGCCGCCGGCAGGCCCCGCCCAAGCCCGCCTCCTAGCGCGGGGACTACACTTCCCGAAGGTCTCCCCGGCCCCGAGGGGCGGGCCCAGCCGCCCTCCCGCTCACACTGGCGGTGACTGGCTTCCCGGAGGAGGGCGGGGCCTGCGCCAGCCAATAGACGAGGGGCTCGTTACGGCGGCGGAAGCAGCGGCGCTGGGCTGAGTGGTGGGGGACGGAGTGCTCGCGCCCCGGCGGCGGCTGCGGCGGCGGCAGCGGTAGGTCCGGAGCCGCGGACGTTGGCCCCGCAGGCTGCGAGTGCTCGGGAACGAGCTCGAGGAGGCGCGGCGGGCACTCGGTGCAGCGCCCAGGTAATGGCGGGACGGGCGCCCGGGAGTGGAGGGGAGAAAAGGGGAGGAGACGAGGGGGCGGGGCGGCCGAGCCGGGCTGTAACGTCTGTCCCGCTGCGTGTCCCCGGGGAAGGGCAGCGGTGCTGCGTCTCCCGCGGCTCAGACCTGGGCTCTGTGGCGACCTGGGCACGGCGGTTGGGCCGGCGGTAGGGGCCGGGTGTCCTGCAGCAAGGAAGGGAGAGGCGCTGGGTTGATTCGGCCGGGCGTGGGCCTTGGCGGGGAAGCGGAGCAGCCGGGGCGGGCGGGCAGACAGCCCGGGAGTTTGGCTCCCGGAGCAGTTTAAAGTGACTCTCCACATCCGGGCCCTGCGCCCGCCGCTTTTAGACCCCGGCGGAGGCGAGGCCTCCCGGCGCCCCGCCCCCCTCGCCGGAGCGCTAGTCTTCCACTGCCATTGGCTCCACCTCGAAGGGTTGGGGCTGGCACGGTGAGACGCGCTCCTGATTGGCTGGCAGTCGGCGGGAGGGTGGGACGGGATCCGTACGCGCAGGTCGCGGCGGATTGGTGCTAGCACTCGAGTGACGCGCCCTTCGGGTGGCCAATGGGCGGACAGGGGAGTTAAAGGCTGGTTCGGGGAAAGGGGACTGAACCCGAGCGGTGGCCCGGTGTCGGGGGGAGCGAACGGTGAGAGTGGGCAACGTCGTGTCCGGAGCGCGCTCGGTACAACCCTGCCCGCGACTCCGGAGCCCAGCGCTGCTACCGAGATGGGCCCTCCGCACCACCCCCAGCCCGGCGAGATGCAAGCAGGCGCGGCGGGCGGCGGGCGGTGGCTGCAGGTAAAGACCTACTGCTTGTCTTGGGGTTCCTCGGAACGCCTGTTCCGCGCCCCAAACTAGTCTCAGAGACCCGAGGTGCCTGGTGCACTGTTCTCCGATCTCAGCGGGGACTTTGGGTTGGGGCGGAGTTGGCGGCGAGTGGGGATGCCCTAGAGCTTGGCTTCTGCTGGAAAAGGGGTCGATTTTGCAGAAGGCGGTGAAGGTCTTGGGTCCTTCCGGCCCTGTGTTGGTCTGTGAAAAGGGGGAAAAGGATCTCCGTAAATGGAGGCCTGTGCAGAAAAAAGCATTTGAGAATTCCTTTTGGATCAGGTTTTCATATAAGGTTTCTGATTCCTTCTTAGGACAGGGCATCTTCCCTCTGATCTCCTAAGACACACCGGTGACAGTGCTGTTCACCTCGGTGTGAGGGTTAAGCCTTTCAGAAGGACTTGACATTCCCCATACAATTTTACAGACACATGTTTTGTATTCATGTATTGTGGCTGTTGTTCAGGATTCAGTGTTGACTTTTTAGTGTGGCAAACCACAAGTATTTATGGAGGGTCAGTGTCCCCCAACACCATATAAACAATCTTGCTATTAATTGAATTTATTTACATCCAAACTTACAAAATTTAGATAATTTCTGCACTGTATATTGATCTCAAGTAATTGTTTTAGATAAATGATGCTGCATTTGCTTTTAAGGGAAGATAGAGATACTAAATATGCTTTAATTTTTCATTGTAGATTCTAATCTCAGAATCCAGTAATAACCATATGACTGTATGCACTGCAGGTGGAAATGAGTTCTCAACAATTTCCTCGGTTAGGAACTCCTTCCACTGGGCTAAGCCAGGCTCCTTCACAGATTGCAAACAGTGGCTCTGCAGGATTGATTAACCCAGCAGCTACAGGTGAGATGTGTGGCATTCATCCATGTTACTTCCTGCTTTAAGTATATTGCCAGTTTTCTCATTTAAAAATTAGCAAATTCCTTCTGGGATTTCAGTAAATGCTAGGTCATCACATTTAAAGAAAGGATATATTACAATTCTAATTTAAATTACACAAGGCTTTTTTTCTCCCTTTTTAGTCACATCCTTCACATTTATAGTCACACATGAAAGCTGCAGTTAGCCCTTACAAACTGGTTTTCACGTATTGATATCTTCTCATTTAGTTAAGGCCCAGAGACACCGTAGTAAGAGCCCAAAGGTGTGCATAGGTCTTGTTTTAGAGGCCGGGGTGCTGCCACACATTCTGCAATTCACAGCAAAGGCCCTAGAAGGAAGAATTCAGTCGATTTACAGTGCTGAAGTTAAAGAACTGCTAGTAGTCCCTTTCTCTCTAGATATCCAGTAAAAAGATAGCCCTGCAAAGTGAAATGAAGTACTCCTTTTTCTTTTTTTTTTTACTCCTCACCCGAAGACATTTTTTCATTTTTTGTTCAGATAGAGCAGGAGGGAGAGAGAGGAAGAGAGAGAGAGAGAAACATTGACGGTGAAAGGTACACATCGAGTGGCTGCCACCCGTATGACCCAACCAGGGCCGGGGACAAACTGCAACCGAGGTACGTGCCCTTAGGGGGAACCGTACTTGGGTCTCTTTGGACCGCAGGCTGACGCTCTAACTGCTGAGCCAAACCGGTCAGGGCTCTATTTTTCTTCACTACCTGATTGCTATATTCATTATCATAGTAAACAGTACCACTGTCTACTCATTACTCACACCAGGGACTCGGGCATCATCTTTAATTGCTTTGTGTTTGTCTCTTGCCTATGAGTTAATGACCTTTAGACAAAAGTCTGTTTTAGCCTCATTTTCTATTGCTTTGCTTCCCTTCTGCCAACTTAGTTTTTGTTACAAATTTATTTTAGTTCCATTTATTCTTGAAGTAACTTTAAGCTACTCTGTGTCTCCTGTATAATATAGTATCTGCTCATATTTTCTGAATTCATGATAAAAAGTTTTCGGCCCTGGCCTGTTTGACTCAGTGCTTAGAGCGTCAGCCCGTGGACCAATGAGTCTTGGGTTCAATTCCGGTCAAGGGCACATACCTGGGTTGCGGTTTGGTCCTCAGCCTTGGTCCGTGTCATATGGGAGGCAACCATTCAATGTGTCTCTCTCCCTCCCTCTCTGCCTTCCTCCCTCCCACTGTATCTGAAGATAAAAATGGAAAAATACCTTCTGTTGAGGATTTAAAAACAAAAAGTTCTCGGCTTTCTTGAACTTGAGAATTTACACATTCTGTTTCTTTTGCCACAGTTTTCCTTCTTCCTTTCTACACTTACTTATTTGTCTAATGAGAGCCAGGACCATATCTGTCTCCTGTACTTTTCTGTGTGTTATAGTTGCTGGACAGTGTAGGGCACAAAGTAGGGATCAACACGTTCTTACAGAGCCACTTACAATGTTGACACTATGTTGCCTTTGCTATAACTTCACAACAGAATAATTTGGAAGAGCATAGCTAAGAATACTTTTTTTTTTTTTTGGTATGTGTCCCTGGTGGGAATTGAACCGGGACTCTCTGGTCCACAGGCTGATGCTCCAACCGCTGAGCCAAACCAGCCAGGGCTAAGAATACTTTTGACCATCTATATATATAAGCTGTCAGCAATAATTGCCCTCAGATTTTATTGAGAAGGAAAACCATTGACTTAGATCAAAACTGTCTGTAATTTTGTTTCTGAAGAGTGTGTTTTTTCCTCAGTTGCTTACAAAAAAAGAAAAGTTTTCTATAAGCAATACTTCCTATTGCTCTTATCAGAAGTAGTAGTTTGGGATCCTGAGCATATCAGGATTTCAAATACATGTTCAAAGTTTAGAAGTACAGATTACAAGTCTCTATTGCTTTAAGATTCTTTTCTGGAAAAAATAAACTGAAATTGAGAACTCCAGATATCTGGAAGGAAACGATAAATGGTTCAAAAAAGAGGTTACTGGGATATGGTCAGTACATTATGTCTTTTTTTTTGGTACGTGCCCCTTGCGGGAACCGAACCCAGGACTCTCTGGTTCACAGGTTGATGCTCCAACCGGTGAGCCAAACCGGCCAGGGCAGTACATTATGTCTTAATGAAATTGTCAAAAATCAAAGTCTTCCTGGACAAATAGATTTGGAGAAAAGTTATGAAATCATCCATTTTTCTTTTTTTTTAAACCCTCACCCAAGGACATTTTTACATTCTTTGTTCAGATAGAGTGGGAGGGAGAGAGAGTAAGAGAGAAAGAGAGAGAAACATCGACATGAAAGGGACATATTGAGTGGTTGCCACCCGCTGGACCAACCAGAGCTTGGGACACACTGCAACCGAGGCATGTTCCCTTGGCGGGAACCGAACTTGGGTCTCTCTGGACCACAGGCCGACGCTCTAACCGCTGAGCCAAACCGGCCAGGGCCATTTTCCTTCAATTTTTAATTAGGGGAAAATCTGTTTAGACAGTGGGGAAGGTTAAAAATTAATAAAGGAAAGACAGAAGTAAAACTGTCTCTATTCATAAACAACATGTTCTTGTATGCAGTAAATCTTAAAGAATGTTTGTAAAAGGCTGTTAGAACTAATAGATTCAATAAGTAATGGTTACTGGATAAATGTTTAATATATAAAAATAAATTCTATTTAATAGCAGTGAACAATGAAATTTTTAAAATGTCACTTACAGTGGCACCCAAAAAGAGCCCACAGAGAATTCAGGGACATTAACAAAATATGTGTAAGACCTAAAATTAGAAAAATTTGTAATTTTTTTTCACCTAATATGTAATATGTAATTTTGCTGAGAAAAATTAAAGGCCTAAATAAATAAAAATATCTGTCATGATCATGGATTGGAAAACTCAGTAATTTTTTTTTAAATAGTTTATTGTTTTGTTTTTGTGTTTTTCTTTAAAGAGAGAGAGACATCAGTGTGAGAGAAAAACATTGATTGGCTGCCTCCTGCATTCCCTCTACAGGGGATTGAGCCCACAACCCAGGCATGTGCCCTGATCAGGAATAGACTTAGCAGCCTTTTGGTATCTGGGATGATGCCCAACTGAGCCACACCAACTAGGGTGGAAAACTCAGTATTTTTAAGGTATCACTTCTATCACAGGGATTTGTAGATTTAAAGAAATTCTAATCAAAATCTCATTTGGTTCTTTTGTAAAAATTAACAACCTGAATCTAAAATTGATGTGGAAACCAAAGGACCTAAAATAGCCAAAGTAGTTTTGACCAAGAAAAGAAATTTGGAGACTCTGCTCCCTTACTTCATGACTTGTTATAAAGCTACACTAATGAAGACAGTGTGGTTTTGGCATAAAAATAGAAATATAGACCATTGGAACAAAGTGGAAATAGACCCACACATATGGTCAATGGGTTTTTGACAAAAGTACATAGATAATTCAGTAGGGAAATGATAGTCTTTTCTTTTTTTTTTTTTTTTTTTAATCCTCACCCGAGGACATTTTTTGTTCAGATAGAGCGGGAGGGAGAGAGAGGAAGAGAGAGAGAGAGAAACATCGATGCGAAGGGACACATTGAGTGGCTGCCACCCGCACGACCAACCAGGGCCGGGGACAAACTGCAACCGAGGTACGTGCCCTTAGCGGGAACCGAACCCGGGTCTCTCTGTACCGCAGGCCTACGCTCCAACCGCTGAGCCAAACAGCCCAGGGCTGGAAATGATAGTCTTTTCAACAAAATACTTCAGAACACCAAAATATCCATATGGGAAAACAAAATTAACTTTGACCTTTACCTTCACCATACACAAAAGTTAACTCAAAATGTATCATCATGGACTTAATATAAAATATAAATTTCTTAAAACAAAACATTGGAGAAACTGTTTGCCACCTTTAGGGTAAGCAGAAATTTCCTGGATCACAAAAAAACTAATTATAAAAGAAGCAACTGATACATTAAAAATGACTGCTTGTCAGGAGATCATTCACAAAATAAAAAGGCAAGGCACAGACTGAGAGAAGACATTTGCAATAAATGTATCTGCAAATGACTTATATCCTGAATACATAAAGAACTCTTTTAACTCAATGGTGAAAAGGCAAACAGCTGGATTTTTTTTTTTAACGAGCCAAATATTTGAATAGCCACTTCACCAAAGACCCCATTTAAAGGCCAAATAATTACATAAAAGATACTCAACTTAACCCTCAGGGCAGTGCATATTAAAACTAAGATGAGAGCCTATTTGGCTCGGTGGTTGAGCTGGTTTAGCATCGACCCTGCACCAAGAGGTCACCAGTTCAATTCCTAGTCAGAGCACATGCCCAGGTTGTGGGCCCAATCCCCAGTGAGGGGCATGCTGGAGGTGGCCAGTTGCTGTTTTCTCTCATCGATGTTTCTATCTCTCCCTTCCTCTCTCTCTAAATCATAAAGGAAAAAAATTTTTTAAACCCCTGGTGAGAAACTACTACACATCCACAAAATGACTACAATTGAAGACCGATAATACAAAGTTTTGATGTGTCTGTGGAACAAGTTGAACTTATGCATTGTTGGTAAAAATGCAAAATCTAGCCACTTTGGGAAATGGTTTGTCAGTATTTTATAAAATGACACTAGAACCTCCGTTCTCGAACTTAATTCATTCTGGAAGACTCTGAAAACCGAATCATTTTTCCCATTAGCAGTAATTTATATTGAATGAATCTGTTCTTGACCCCCAAATGATTTCCCTGTTTTAACCTTTCTTATATACAGTGCATGTATAATATACTGATTAATCTATAAATCAACACTTCCAAAACAAAAAGTATATAAAATGTAAATAAAAATTTAACAAAAGGGAAATGAAATGTACAGTAAAAATGAAAATTTAATAAGCAGCAACAAAAGCAAAAAAACATGAAAATATTCACAGCACGATTTCCTGAGATGTTAATAATATGAAGTGTAGGGTTGAGAAGCAGATTGTTTGAGGTGGGAGACATTTGAGAACGTAGGTTTGACTATAAACAGAAATTTATCCTACAACCCAGCAATCCATTCATGGGTATTTACCCAAGACATATGAAAACATATGTCATACATACAGAGACTTCCCTTCAACGTGCATAGAATCATTATTCATAAGAGCCAAAAACGAAACAATCCAGATTTTACTAGTTGGCGGTTAGAGGAGCACAGTTTGTTTTATCCCTGCAATGGAGCACTAAGCAACAAAGAGCAAACTTACTGGTCCACATAGTAGCAGGATGAACCTTGAAACATGCTGAGAGGAGCCAGCACAGGCCACATGGCGCATGCTTCTAGTCCCTTGGAATTCCAGGAAAGATCAAGCTCTGACGATACCTGGGTTCAGTTCCCGCTAAGGGCGCATACCTCGGTTGCAGTTTGTCCCCGGCCCTGGTTGGTCGTGCGGGTGGCAGCTACTCAGTGTGTCCCTTTCACGTCGATGTTTCTCTCTCTCTCTTTCTCCCTCTCTCTCCCTCCCACTGTATCTGAACAAAAAATGGAAAAATGTTCTTGGGTGAGGATAAAAAATATATATATATCCTTGGGTGAGGATAAAAGAAGAATAAAATAAAATTATGCAGGGTATTTTTTCTATCATTAGTTTCATCCCTAGGTATATAGTCAATAGAAATGGTCATGTGCTCACCAAAAGACATGTACTAGTACAGTTACACAATAGCAAAATCTGAAAAGTAGCTAAATGCCCGTTAACAGTAAAATGAATAATGTTGGTTTATTAACTCAGTGGTACACTATCCTGAGATTGAAAGCTTTCTAGCTATGTGCAATAGCATGCATTAACCTCATACCTGTAAGTGAAAGGAGCGAGATAGAACAGTGGGGTAACATTGGTTCTGAATCTATTTATTTATAAAGTTAAAAAACAGACGTAGTGATCTATAGTGTTAGAAGATGGTGAATGCACTTAGGAGGCATAGTGACTGAACAGAGGGTTTCTGGGAAACCAGGAAAGGTTTGCTTCTTGATCTGGATGCTGATTCTCAGGTATATTCAGTTTGTGAAAGTTCACTGAGCTATACAATTAATATTTGTGTGTTTGTTTTTATGAAGGTTTTATTTCAATTTAAAAGGTAAAAAATTAACAACCCCCCCAATCAAAGAGGTAAGCATCCAAAGGTTTACTAAAATAGTAACTGCTGGTGCCTTTGGGAACAGCTTTACTTTATAGTTTTCCAAATAATTAAAAATTGACTCCATAAGTATAATCTTTACATTCAGAAAAATAATGCTAGTATTAATTTGGAAAATGATAGACAAAAATGAGTTAATGTTTTCACAAACTCTCTTCTTTTATTACATTAGTTCCTTGATTTTTTAAAACTTATTTTTAAATAGGGTATGAGAAGTATATACAGTAGAAAGTCTCTCCCATCCCTATCACCCAGTCCTCCACTTGATTTCCCTTCAGGCAACTAAGATGCTTTTGGACATATGTTATTCATATCTAAATTCCAGTACATATATGTATGTGTGTATTTTATTTACTTTTTTGCTGTTCTGTATCTTGCTTTTTTTTATTTGATTTTTAGACAGAGAAGAAGGGAGAGGGAGAGAGATAGAAACATTGATGAGAGAGAACATCAATTGGCTGCCTCCCCACTGGGGATTGGACCCACAATCTGGGCATGTGCCCTGACCAGGAATTGAACTGGTGACCTCTTGGTGCATGAGCCACACTGGCCAGGCTCTCCCTCCTTTTTTTTACTTATATACTTTTCCATAATATATGTCAGAATTTTTTTTACAAGATTAACTAAAAGACTTCCTCATTGTGTTTTTCTAGTTGCCTAGTAGTCTGTGTGGGTCCACCATAATTTACATAGCCAATCACCTATTGATGGACATGGTGTTTTTGTTGTTGTTGTTCTCAGTTTCTTTACTAGAATAAATATGCTGAAACAAACAGCTTTGTACATAAGGCATTCTGCACATATGCTATGTATCTGTGAGATGCACCCCTGCAACGGGCTTGCTGAGCCTCATGGTGTGTGTGCATTGTAATAATGGTGGGGATCGCCTCATTTGCCTCATAAGGATTTGGACTTTGAAATTTGTTTTGAAAAATTTTATGTTCTTGGACTTAAGAACTATACCTAAATTATCTTGTTTTGTTTTTTAAATGAAGGCCGTTTTTAAAAATTCAGATTCTTTGCCCAGCTGGTGTGGCTCAGTGCCGGTTTGATCCCCGGTCAGGACACATGCCCAGATTGTGGGCCCAATCCCCAGTGGGGGGCGTGCAGGAGGCAGCCAATCAATGTCCTCTCTCATCGATGTTTCTCTCTCTCCCTCTCCATTCCTCCTTCTCTAAAATCAATAAGGAAAAAGTTAAATAAATAAAATAAAATTCAGATTCATTTTTTTAAAAATCCTCAACCAAGGATATGTTTTTATTGATTTTAGAAATGGAGGGAGGGGGGGAGAGAGAAGAGAGGGAAACATCCATCCTTGATAGGTTGCCTCCCATATGCACCCTGACGTAGGTATGTGCCCTGTCCAGGAATCGAGCCCATACCCTTTTGGTGTCTGGGATAATGCTCCAGCCAATTAAGCCACACCAGCCAGGGCTTAAATTATCTTTTTAATGTTAGTTTTATAAGTTTTAAAATAAATATTTAAGAAGAAATTGTCTTTTACATTGCACTTTCAACAATTTGAGCTCATTTTTGATAGTTTTCAAGTCCTTAGTTCATAGGAATGGGAAAGCCACAGTCTCTAAAACAAGTCCTGTTTCACAGGTATGATTTTGACATTTGACATCCATCAGGGGAATTGAATGCCCAAATTCTCCTTCTTTAGAAAACCTTGCAAGGAAACAGCCAGTTTATTAACACTGAAACTTAGTTGCAAGTGCCACTATTATATGTACTGTTATGTTAATTAATATTGGAAGGATGTGATATGCTGTTTTATCCTTAATATCTTCATTAGTCAGTGATGAATCTAGTCGAGATGCTGAAGTCGCTGCCAGGGAGCACATGGGTTCCAGCAGCTCCCTCCAGTCCCGTGAAGAGAAGCAGGAGCCAGTTGTGGTAAGGCCCTATCCACAGGTGCAGATGCTGTCTACACACCATGCTGTCGCCTCGGGCCCACCTGTCACCGTGACAGCCCCACCAGCACATCTGACACCGGCAGTGCCACTCTCGTTTTCAGAGGGACTTATGAAGGTAATGGAGAGGTTTAAAGTTTCACATTGAACCACAGCCAGAGACTGGCTGTAGTATCTCTGACAATTTTCGCGAAGTTTTTGGCTGTATTCTAGGATCGTGGTTTGTTTTGACCTATCAGTCCAACTCTACTCTGTGATTCAGAGTTCCACTGTTTTGGCTAGTTTTGTGCCACTGGGCAGTTGGCATCACAGGATCTTTTCTAACATTGATTTTGTTCAAGTTACAGACATGCTAACCAAGGTTTTGTACTCAAGGTTTTGATTTGTTTTTTGCTTCAATACTCACCTGAGGATATGCTTACTGATCTTTTTTAGGGAGAGAGAAACAGATATAAGAGAGAACATCGATTGGTTGCCCTCTATACATGCCCCGACTAGGGATTGAAACTACAACCTAAATATGTGCCCTGACTGGGAATTGAACCCCCAGCCTTTCAGTGTATGGAAGAATGCTCCAACCAACTGAGCCACCTGGTCGGGGCCAAGGTTTTGTTTTAACAGCTTGCTAACTTGGGGATAGCTGAGAATATTGCCTTTTGTATTACCTTGTAGTTACGTTTCAGTGACTGAGAGTTTTGCTTACTTTTGCCTAAATGTGTGGGAGACAGCATTGTATAGAAGACTGTGTGTTGCGAGCCATGCAGAGCTGGGCTTTCTTCCCAGTTCTAGTAGTTGCTCTTTGTGTGGCTTTGAGCAAACAACTTGGACTTGTTTTGCATGCTTCCTCATCTGTGCAGTGGGAATGTGAACACTTCAGTGAAGAGCTGTGATAACAGATAAACATATAAGGCTCTGCCATCTTTCCTGGCACTCTCCAGGGTTGGTGTGTGTGCTTTATAATGAAATGCATCACTGGTAAAAAGCTATTGAATTGTTTCATGTGGTTTTCTGTTTGCAGCCGCCCTCGAAGCCCACCATGCCTAGCCGTCCCATTGCTCCTGCTCCACCTTCTACCTTGTCACTTCCCCCCAAGGTTCCAGGGCAGGTTACCGTTACCATGGAGAGTAGCATCCCTCAAGCTTCAGCCATTCCTGTGGCAACAATCAGCGGACAACAGGTTTTTTTTCCTCTTAATTTGTTGATTTTCAAACTGAGGTGCCAGACTGTTGATCGTTGTTTGTTGAATGCCAGCAGTACACTAGGTGCTGTTCTCAATAACAGATAAAGCAGCCATTCATGTCTGCGAGGGGGAGATGGCAGATTTGATGGAGAAGGATAGCTGCAGGGACTAAAGTCTCTGTCGTTCAGCCAGTAGGTGTGAGCATCTCTGCGTGTGAGGAACTAGGTCAGCGTGACACACAGACCTGGATGAGACCGTCCCTGTCCTTGAGCTCAGAGCCCAGTCGTGCTTGGCTGTAGGTTCAGAATGCTGGTGGGTGGAGAACAGTCACAGCAGTCGTGCTTTTCTAGGTTTTGCTCTGGGGACAGCGAATGTGTATTTCTTGGGTGGCTGGTGGGCTCTTTCAAGCAGCCCACCAATCATGAACAGTTATGTATTTGGAAGTCCTGTGTTTTAAATGAAACCATTTTTGAAATTGTAGTTCTGCTGCATAATATGTATTCGATTTATTTAAATATTTTAAATCACCAATGTGAAAAACTGAAACACAACTTTCCCTCCAAGTTTTCAAAAAAAAAAATTGTTAATTGTTATTCAAACAGATGTACTGTGTTTTCCTTGTGTCCTCCCAGAAGTGCTAGAGAACCCTCCCCACACGCCTGAGAAGCTCGGTGTCAGGGCTGGGAGAGTGAGGGAGGTGTCCAAGGTGTGAGCTGGAGAGCTGGTAGGGAGTACATGCTGGGTGCCAGCTGACATTCAAGTAGAAACAGACATTGAAGAACGTTGACTACAGTGGCCTGAGGAGGAAAGGACAAGAATAGGACAAAAGAAGCCTTTGGCCAAGACAGAGAGCACACGTGGAAGACTAATGATGAGGATGACAGTGTCCAAAAGTGGGCAGTCAGCTGTGTCCTCTGTCACGGGGATCCAGCAACTAGCTAGCTCATGTGTCCTCAGAGTCACTTACCATATGCCTTCTGGCCCAGGTCATCATACAATATGCTGCATGAAAAGAGCTAAATGTCCTTTTCCTTGGGTTTCTCACTATCGGAAAGGAACGACCTGACCCACATGTGGCGACAGCTGACTTCCTAGAAGCAATGTCAAAACACCAGTGGCTCAGACTGAGCATGGAAGGTAACATTACATCTGTTTGTTGCAGGGCCATCCCAGTAACCTGCATCACATCATGACCACAAACGTGCAGATGTCCATCATCCGCAGCAGTGCTCCTGGGCCCCCTCTTCACATCGGAGCGTCCCATTTACCTCGAGGTAAACACTGCACATGTTGTCCACACTCTCGAAATGCAATATATATTTGGTAGGAGATAGTTACACAAAACATATCCAGAGTCAGCTTATTAATGTTATAGGACAGCAGAAATACTGCGGTCCACATGGTTAGCATGGTCTAATACGCGCGTATGGTAGTCACAAGTATAAGTGTGTGTAAGTTTAAAGAAATCCAGATTTTTAGTGAGATCTAAAAATTGTCCTTTTTAATGAGGAACTTTTCAAGTCCATGATAGCCTAATCATGGTCTTCATTGTTATTTATTAATTTTTTTTAATCCTCACCTGAGGACATGTTTGCATTCATCTTCAGGTAGAGTGGGAAGGAGAGAGGAAGGAAGAGAGAGAGAAACATCAATGTGAGAGACACACATCGAGTGGCTGCCACCCACACAATCCCAGCTGGGGCCGGGGACAAACTACAACCGAGGTACGTGCCATTAGCGGGAACCAAACCTGGGTCTCTGGACTGCAGGCCAATGCTCTAACCGCTTAGCCAAATCGGCCACGGCCATTTTTAATAAATTAGTTGCAAGTACTAATACTTGAATGTTTAAAGTTTAGTGAGAATTGACAAAATTTTTTACTCACAAAAGATGAATTTATTCCTATAATTAAGATCTAATAGGTTGTGAGGTATTAAATTTAATGAGTTTTCTCAACACCTTGGTCAAAAATTGTTAACTTCTAGTGGAGAGTATAAAATCACTACTTGCAAAATTAAATCAGCAAACACAAACCAGACTCACTTGGCCGTCACATAGCTTAGTGAGTGCTGGATGAGGCTCACGGACGGCAGGGTCTGTGTGAGAGCAGAGCTGTCCTCGTGAAGATGCTGATTCGTCCTGTGCTTCTTTCACAGGCGGTTTGCACCTAGGGCAAAGGCAGTTGTCGAGTGAGCTCTCGCTGGGTGTCTGGTGAGGGTGATTGCCGGGACCATGGCCTGGATCTGGGCGACAATGCCACACCAGGCCATTTGCTGTGTGCTTCACTGCTACACACTTACAGCTAAAAAAAAAATAGCCCCAAACTGCCAGTTTCATTTAAGAATGTCTTTGAGGAAACAATGAGATTAATATGTGTTAAATCTCCACCCTTGAGTGCACGTTTTCTGTGATGAAACAGGAAGTATACGTAAAGCACTTTCACTCAGTAGTGACACTTAGTTTTAGACATTCTGATGATTTTCCTAGGAAACATAATGAGGACTATTTAAATTTTCAGTCTACTAATGAAAGAAATACTATTTTTGCAGGTGCAGCTGCGGCTGCTGTCATGTCTAGCTCTAAAGTGACCACAGTGCTGAGGCCAACGTCCCAGTTGCCCAATGCCGCAGCAGCGCAGCCAGCAGTCCAGCACATCATCCACCAGCCGATCCAGGTACATCTGGGCATGGGCAGGCGGTGGGAAGGGTGACGAGCCTCTCTAAGTCGATCATTCTGCTGGGCACTGAGAGTCCTTCAACAGCAGATGCCTTGCAGTCTAGTTGCCAAGACGGAGGGAAGTTGAATAGTACTGTACCATCTGATCTGCTGTAGGAATTTTACAGAGATAGCAAGGGAAGGTTTTTCCCCCCTCACCTGAGGATATTTTTACTGATTTTTAGAGAGAGGAAGGGAGAAAGAGAGGAACATCAGTTGCCTCCCATACATGCCCCCACTGTGAATTGAACCTACAACTTTTTGGTGCACAGACTACGTTCCAACCAAGTGAGCCACACCAGCCAGAGCCACGCTTTCTGTTAGGATGATGCGGTAACGGGGATCCAGAGAAGGGAAGAGGAAGTAGGGGGCAGCACTGTGAGCGTTGGAAGGAAGACAGTGACAGTCATATGCAGTGTTTAGTGAAGGCTCTGAGAACCGGGGGCTCTGAATTGGACAGGGGCATGAACCCCTAAATGTTCTATGCTCATATATATACTTTTTGAGGAAGACAGTCCATGACTTTCAGCCTTTTTCCAAGGGAATCTGTGGCCTCCACTACTGAAGTACAATGTGTTGCTAGATGACACTGTGGTGTCTCTAAGTTCAGAACTCGAGGACACAGAGTGTAAACTTGACTTTGTACACTGCAGAGATTCTCTGGTTTTTGAATAAAGTCATTTATGGTCAAACAAATATCTGTGAAAGATTAACCTACTGAATTACATATGGAAGGTGGAAACTCAAATACTTTGGGGGACCAGATTGGTAGTATGTATCACAGCTGGGTTTAAAACGGTAAACTAAAGTACTGATTAGAACACTGAGTAGTACATGTTCAGCCTAGAACTTTCTAATTGAAACAGAATAGAAAACCTTGGTAGCTAACCACACATTTGGAAACATAGCCCCAGGAGGCTATGTGGTGTATTGGGAGGATTAGAGAAGGAGGAAAACCCAGACAAGGAGCTCCCTAGTGGGGAAGACAGTGCAGCAGCCCTAATGTGAGACGGCAGGCTGTACCCATAGGTAGAGCAGATACGTGGTTGGAAGAAGAAATACAGAAATCAAGAATGGGCAGTTTGCAGATTTAAGTACATGTAATAAGGTCCAAAAAGAGGAACTACTGAGGATTCAGATCAATGGAATAATTGACAGCAGGCAAGCACGTGAAGCCCAGTGTGGAACTCATTTGTTAAATGAAGATTTTACACACACATGTAGTGGAAAGGGAAGTATATTCATGGAAAACATCCAGAAAGCATACTAGCATGCGTTTGCTTTCAGTGTGCTAACTCAGATGACCGGAGAGTTATAGCAGCTCTGTCCAGTGGCTGAGTAGACCCTTTGTGGAAAGCACTTGGTTGTGTGGTAGTGTAAAATGTGTACAGCAGGACCGACAACATCTGTGAGAATTCTTTTTCTCTTTTGTTATCCTCACCTGAGGACATATTTTTCCATTTTTTGTTCAGATAGAGTGGGAGGGAGAGAGGAAGAGAAGAGAGAGAGAGAGAAACATCGACATGAAAGGGACACATCAAGTGGCTGCCACCCGCACGACCAACGAGGGCCTGGGGCAAACTGCAACCAAGGTACGCACTCTTAGCGGGAACTGAACCCGGGTCTCTCTGGACTGCAGGCCAACGCTCTAACAGCGGAGCCAAACCGACCAGGGCCGTGTGTGGAAATTCTTGATCACAAGGCTTAGATCCACATTTGTACTAACACAGTAGGACAGAATTTTGAATCTAGTTGTGTTTGAAAAGAAGTGGATTGTATTTTATCCATTCAAAGTTGGATTTCTATTTTATTTTATTTTATTTTATTTTATTTTATTTTATTTTTTATTTTATTTTATTTTTTTGTGGTACATGCTCCTAGTGGGAACTGAACCCGGGACTCTCTGGTCCGCAGGCTGACGCTCAACCGCTGAGCCAAACTGGCCAGGGCAGATTTCTTTTTTAAAATTCTAACTTTTTTGGTAACAGCCCATCCAAAAAGAGGATTTCTTAGTAAGAATGTACAACCATTTGGACATTAACACTTATTTGAAGGCCCAAGGTTCAAATTATACTTTTAGTGTTTGGCTTACTATATTTTATTTTGCTTTTTGTATTAAATGAAATTTACTTTTCTCTTCTCTTGGTAGTCTCGTCCACCGGTGACCACCTCTAATACCATCCCTCCTGCTGTAGTAGCCACTGTGTCAGCCACCAGAGCTCAGTCTCCAGTCATCACTACAACAGCAGCACATGCTACTGATTCAGCACTTAGGTATGTGTGGAGTTTGATGATAAAGGCGTTTTCTCGTCTCCCCCTTTTTCCTTTTCTTCCTTAATTCCTTTTAACTCAATAAGCACTTCTTAAGTTCTTCTTTCAATGAGCTATGTGGTGTTCTCGATACTGAAGATAAAACAAACAAATTCCTGGCTCGGAGTTTCTATTTTTAGAATCTGGGGACATACAGTAAATAAATGCGTGTGTGTGTGTCTGTGTACATACTTTTTTATTTATTTATTTTATTTATTTTTTTATTTTTATTTTTTTAATCCTCACCCGAGGACATGTTTCCATTTTTTGTACAGACAGTGTGGGAGGGAGAGAGAGGAAGAGAGAGAGAGGGAAACCTCGATGTGAAAGGGACACATCGAGTGGCTGCCACCCGCACGACCAACCAGGGCCGGGGACAAACCTGGCCATTAGCGGGAACCGAACCCGGGTCTCTCCGGACCGCAGGCGGACGCTCTAACCGCTGAGCCAAGCCGGCCAGGGCAATGTACATACTTTTTTAGATGAAGAAAAACGTTTCTGGGAAAAATTAGTAGTTTGAATGACATTTGGAGTGAGAGTAGGCAGTACAGGGGGCTTACTTTTTCATATAAGGTGATCAGGGAGGGCTTTGTTGATAAGAATACATTTGAGCAGAAAATTGGAAGACATGATGAAGCAAACCATATGGCTACCAAGCTAAGAGCATTCCACAGTGGGAACAGTAAGTGCAAAGACCATGACTTAGGATAACATTTGCCACATAAAAGGAGCAGCAGGAGAGGAAAGTGAAGCAAGATGGTGGTGGACAGGACCTGAACAAGGGTGGGTGTGAATGAGTGTGAGTGGATGTGAGTGTGGACGAGCAACTTCGAGCAGTACAGAAAGGTGGGGCAGGGGTTCCTGTGCTGTGGACGGGGAGCAACAGGCTACCGCGGTAAGCAGCTTGTCAGGGCACTTCTTCCTGTGCAGCTGGAAGGCCCTGCCATTTTGGAATATCCCTGGTCTTCTCTGGGAGGAGGCAGTTGGGAGTGGCTTGGGCCGAGCAACCTGAGTCCACCAGTGCACCTTGCACCATCAGACCAGTGGATGCCAATGTGTCTACGTGAAAACAGTGCACTGTCAAGGTGCCTGCTACGGAAGCTGCAACCGGCCAGGAGCAGAGAGCACCATCCCACACACCAGCAGCCTGTTCAGAGCCGAGCACCATCCCCCACAGCATTAGCCTGATCAGAGCCAAGTATCACCTCTAGCAGCAGTAGTGCCACCTTTGGAGTCCAGCACCTTCCCCCACAGCAGCAGTGACTAGGCAGGAATGGAGCCCCACTCCCAACAGCAGCAGTGGCTTGAAAGCGTACATCCATCCCCAGGTGACAACAGCATACATCAGCAGCTGAGACTCTCTCTAGCAGCATCAGCAGAGGCTGATCAGGAGTGGTCCCCAGCCCAAGCAGCAGCAAGTCTTGGGCAGCCGAGACCTCCCCTGACAACTGCAGCAGTGGATTTGGCATGGTGCCCCTCCCCCAGCAACAGCAAAGTCCTGGGAGCTGAGCATCCTCAGCCCCAAACAGCAGCAGAGGATTGGGAGCTGACTGCACCCTTGGCAACAGTAACAACGCAAACCAGGAGTTGACACTCGCCCCCAGCAACATCAGCAGTGACTGGTCACGAACTGAGCTCCACCAGGCAGGAGTGTACCTCACCAGGGCACCAAGAGGACCATGCACCCCAGAAGAACACTGGCAAGACCCATGCACCCCAACAGTACCTATCACGACAGACTAATACCAGCTGCCAGGTGTCAGTCCTCCAGGATACACAGTAAGGAAGATGTACCACAGAACAAAACAGTCTGGGAGGCACAGCAGCCTTATTTGATACACATCAACCTGCCTACACATCCCAACATCCTTCACCAGGCCTATAACTGCTAAAATAGTGAGACAAAGAAACAACTCCAAAATGAAAAAAAAAGGAGGAATCTCCAGAAGAGGAACTACATTAAATGGAAGAAAGTAATTTTTCAGTTAAAGAATTCAAAGCAATGGTTTGAAGGGTGCTGAAACAAGTTAGAACTACAAACAACTTAATGAGAATTATGAAGAGCTCGGTGGCAACTACATAAGCATAAAAAAATAGGTAGAATCTATGAATAAAAAAAAATTATTTAAAGCTCAAAGAATTTATCAAAATCAATGGAAATAAAGAATGATAACTGAGCCCTGGCCAGTTTTGCTCAGTGTTTAGAATGTCGGCCTGCAGTCCAGAGAGACCTGGGTTTGGTTCCGGCTAAGGGCACGTACCTAAGTTGTGGTTTGTCCCCAGCCCTGGTTGGGTCATGCGGGTTGCAACCATTCGATGTGTCCCTTTCACATCAGTGTTTCTCTCTCTCTCTCTCTCTCTCCCCCCCACTCTCTCTGAACAAAAAATGGAAAAAATGTCCTCAGGTGAGGATAAAACAAAATGACAGCTGATATGAAAAATACCATGCAAGGTGTCAGTAGTAGATTAGAAGAAGCTGAAGACTGATTCAGCTAGTTAGAAGACAAGGTAGAAAGAAACATGCAAATAGAGTAGCAAATGGTGGAAAAAATTAAAAACCAGGAGGAGAGTTGAAGGGAACTATGGGATAATACGAAATGTAACAGCATTCGCATCATGAGGGTACCAGAAGGAGAAGAAACAGAGAAAGGGATAGAGAACCTGTTTGAAGAAGTAAAGACAGAAAACTTAATTGGGTGAAGGAAAAAGACACACAAGTCCAGGATACACAGAGAGCCCCAAGCTAGATGAACCCAAAAAGACCCATAGCTAGACACATTTAATTAAAATGGCAGACATTAAAGACAAAGAAAGAAAGAATCTTAAAGGAAGCAAGAGAGAGACAAAGTTACCTACAAGGGAGCTCCCATTAGACTGTCAGCTGATTTCTCAATAGAAACACTGCATGCCAGAAGGGAGTGGCATGAAGTATACAAAGTAATAAAAGGCAAGGGTCTGAATTCAAGACTACTCTATCTAGCAAGGCTGTCATTCAGAATTGAAGTAGAAATATAGAGCTTCACAGGAAAAAAAAAAAAAAAAACAATGCTAAGGGAATTTACCATATATCATCACTAAACCAGCACTGCAAGAAATGCTAAAGGGACTGTTGTAAGAAGAAGAAATAGAGAGAGAGAGGAATACAGGCATAAAATAAAAATGGCAACTAGTAAGTATAATAACCTTAAATGTAATTGGCTTAAATGCACCAATCAAGACATAGGGAAGCTAACTGGATAAGAAAACATGTCCCATATATATGCTGTATACAAGAGATTCACCTTGGAACAAGAGACACACAGGATGAAAGTGAAAGGATAGAAAAAATTTTTTCAGACAAATGGAATTGCAAGAAAAGCTGGTGTAGCAGTACTCATATCTAATAAGATAGACTTCAAATTGAAGGCCATAATGGACAAAGAAGGTCACTACATAATATTAAAGGGATCAGTCAAACAAGAGGATATAACCCTGGTAAACATATATGCACCAAACATGGGAGCACTGAAATATATTTTAATACTTCTGGAGGTCTTCAAGGGAGAGATGAATAGCAATACAGTCACAGTGGGTTACGTTAACACCCTACTGACACCACTGGATGGATCTTCTGTACAAAAATTAACAAGAAAACAGAGTCCTTAATTAATGAACTAGATCAGTTGCACTTAATTGATATTTACAGGACATTTTACCCCAAAGCTGCAGAATATACATTCTTCTCAAGAGTGCACGGGACATTCCCAAAGATAGGCCACATGTTTGGTCACAAAGTAAGTCTACAAATTCAAGAAGATTGAAATCGTATCAAGAATCTTCTCTGATCACAATGGCATGAAGCTAGAAATGAATTACAACAAAAACATTCAAACATATGGAAGCTAAAAAGCATGTTATTAAACAACGAATGAATTGCCAAAGACATCAAGGAGGAAATCAAAACCTTCCTGGAAACCAATGAAAATGAACATACAACAACACAAAATCTATGGGTGACAGTGAAAGCAGTCCTGAGATGGAAGTTTGTAGCACTACAGGCCTACCTCAAAAATCAAAAAAATTTCTAATTGACCTTCTAACCCTACTACTTCAAGACCTAGAAAGTAAGCAAATAGAAAAACCCAGAGCAAGTAGAAGGAAAGAAATAGTAAAGGCCAGAGCAGAAATAGACAACATAGAGACTAAAAAAAAAATTCAAAAGATTATTGACCCAAAGAGCTGGTTCCTTGAAAAAATAAACAAGATTGATGGACCCTTAGCCAGACTCACCAAGAATCAAAAAGAGAGGACCCAAGTAAACAAAATCAGAAACGAAAGAGGGAAAGTAACAAATGACATGAAGGAAATGTAAAGGAGCCTGGCTAGTTTGGCTCAGCAGTTAGAGCGTTGGCCTGTGTTCCAGAGAGAACTGGGTTTGGTTCCCGCTAAGGGCACGTACCTCGGTTGCATTTTGTCCCCGGCCCTGGTTGGGTTGTGCGAGTGGCAACCACTCGATGTGTCCCTTTGACATCGATGTTTCTCTCTCTATCCCTCCCACTCTATCTGAACAAAAAATGGAAAAATATCCTCGAATGAGGATAAAAAAAAATATATATATATAAAAGAAATATAAAGGATAGTTAAACCATACTATGAATAGTTGTACACCAACAAATTGGACAATCTAGGTAAACTGTACAGATTTCTGGAAAAACACAGTCTCCCAAAACTGAACTGGGAAAAGAGAGAAAACTGGAACAGACCAGTAACAACTAAGGAAATTGAAGATGTGATAAAAAGTCTGCCAGCAAACAAAAGTCCAGCCCCGAATGGCTTCACGAAGTTTTACTGAACATTCAAAGATCTAACACCCATTCTTCTCAAACTATTCAAAAAAATTCAAGTATATGGAAGACTTCCAAACTCATTTTATGAGACCAGCATAATTCTAATTCCAAAACCAGATAAAGACATTACAATGAAAG